AGGAAAATTTAAGCTTATAAAACATGAATAGTGTCAAAAAACTAAAGCACTTGGGAAGCTGCACCAAACGGACCCTTATAGTTTAAGAAAGCAACTTGACAAGCTAGAACATTAAAGGGTCAATAATTTGAGAAATTGGACCACTAGATTAATTTTGTAAGAGGAACCATACAACCAATTTCATTTGCTAGGTGCCAACCATTGCCACAGAGGAATTTGACTACTGAAAGTCATTTCTTCATTGACCACAATAGCAGCTCAAATAATATATTTCAACACAAGAAATTAAATAAACATAGAATTCTCACCACAAGGAACCCAAATGCAAGTCCAGTTCCCAATATAACTAAATGGGGATAAGTTCCTATTATATCAGATGGAGATAGATAATCCCTGTGGACCAAAATAGCATCATGAATAAGTCCAATATGCACAAGAAAAGTTAAACATAGGTAAAACAGAAACACTCGAGATAACCATACCAGACTAGCACTCCTCCCAGGAGCACAGCAAAAGGGTAAAGCTAACAATGAAAAGGAGAAAAAAATGAGAAACCATTTTAAGCATGGCTAGAATGAGGAAATAAGTGAAAAAATCACTATAGTACCATTGCTAAAGCCAGTGGCATGCTTATGCTTCCTTTTCTTGCCTGAATGACCTTATAGACATTGCATACACTGAAAAATGAAACCATCTACCAGCATAAGTACTAGCCAAACTTATCCATACTGCTGTGGTGATTTCATCCATGACTCTACATGTTTTTCTCAAGTAACTATAAGATAGGGAACCTGAACAGATACAGAAGAATACAGGGGAAACCACTTACTTGAATGTGACAGTAGGTATAACACCAAAGGCAATCATCAAAAACAGCACAGCTTTGAATGTTGGGATTTCTGAAACCAAAAAGGGAAAAAGCAAAAATTAATGAGAATTCAGAAAACTGTAATTGTTGAAAAGAATTGCAAAAGAAAGGCAAGCCAGGAAGCCTAGATGACAACAGGTAACTAAAAACTGAGAGAAGCAAGAACAAAACACTGATTACATTTTGACACCTCAAAATGTTTAGTTCTACTGATAAATGTACCAGATATTGACAACCTTACCGCTTATAAAAGGCACCCAACCAAAGAAGGGAATTGATTTCCCAAACTGCTGAGCCCACCACTGGGCACCTTAAGAAGCAAAAGGTTCAAACAAATACCAAAGTTAATATAGCAAAGAGAGGAAAAGCAAAGCAAAAGAGAAAAATACAAAACTATTACTGTAATGAGTCATTACATAATTAAAATCGAGGTTTCAAAGTATAGCCTTTTAATTGCCAAGGGCACAAGAGAATATGAAGCGAAGAAACATACCAACAATTGCTGTCATAAAGTGGGACACGTAAATCAATGCAAGACCCTCTGTAGGTCCATTGATAACTGGAAGAATAAGTGTATTGGTAAAATAGCTGCATCACCAAACAAGGGTGGAGATATCAGAATCGCTAATGGAAATTCCAACCTTCTTTTAAACTTAGAGCAAACTCTAAAAGCTTACACAGATGAGATTGGGACTAGAGAAGGGGAAAACATAAAGAAGCATAAATGGAAACAACCAAATCAGGGTGCATGAGGCATAAGTTTTCTCATCCCAATCACCCAACCAGAAGGAATTTGCCACCAAAGAAAAACAAAATTTAAATGCAATTCAGAGACAAACCATTTAATTTCAGATATCTAGATAGCAGGATATCAATTGTTTAAGCTATAAAGAGTAAATAATCAGAATGTCTTGAACCACTTACTGTTCCCATGTTGCTCCATAAAATGGTATTGCTGCTATCACCCAGAACCAGAATGTGTCCCTTCCACACATTGCAGTGCTCCCAAAAGCCAAGCTTTCAAACTAAGGAAAGGAAACGAGAAAAAGGTTGAATGTTCATAAAGAAGGAATTAGCTAGCAGGCATGGTTATATAATAAAAGAAGGAACAAAAATGCATACCGCGCATGCAAGTGCATCACATCCTGTAAAATATTGGGAACACCAAGCAAAACTTCTTTAGTATATAATTTATAATCAAGTTTAAAACAATTAAGAAAGATATGATAACAAAAAATACCATGGTCAAAGAGCTCCCCCAATGGGCTAGAGGAACTTGTTCGCCTTGCTTGCTTGCCATCAACAGCATCAAAAGTCTACAATGAAGTTTTAGTAAGTCAAGGAGAGCCAAAACAATAAAGAGATGCATTAGCACACAAACAAACCCAAAGAAAGGAAAGGGTTTTTGCTACAGAGATAGCCAAAAAAAAAAGAACCTGATATAAAAATAGTAGTAGTCCATGAGCAAAATGAACCCATCTAGGTGGGGGTGAATCCAATTGAGGTGAATAAATCTGCAGCGAATTTACAAATCAAGATCAGGACTCTAATAGAAAAGAATAAGGACTTAACACTGCACCAAAATGCTTCTGGATGGTATTTTACAAAGCAAATTATTTGTTAGAACAATATTAGTTTATCAACCTGGTTAGGGAATATCATTTGAATGCCAAGTATGGAAACTCCAGAAAAAGGGGCTAAAAAAAAACCCATTTCAGCCCTGTCTAGATTGTCTTACCAGTCCAAAAGCAAATGAAAAGAAAATTGTATGATTTATTGCATGCCATACAAAAGTTAATTGTCATATACATGCTAAAAAATTTTCAACATCACAGTCATTTTTGCAGGACAATTTTTGTACCAGGTTAAATTTATCAAATTGGAGTTGCTCAATACAATACAGATAATAAATGTAAGCAGTTCATGATGCATAAAGGACAAACCCCAAATATGCGAAATTAAAGCAAATGAAGAATAGATGTCCACTCACATAGCTAAGCAGTGCCGATGTAACCAAGAACAGAAATCCTATAAGTGTAATCTTGAGATAACAAAAACATAAGAAATTAGTGACTATGCAAGATGAGAAAAATGTTCATACTAAGTTACTCATCCGTAAATTACACATATCCTTACTAATTAAAGCTAACATACCATGTTTGGTCTGCAGAAGATCCAGAGGCAAACACGTACATGCACAGAAAATTATGCTGGTATCAGCATTATCACAAATAAAGAATACTTAACTTGAATCAAGAAGAGTCATTATAAAAGAGCAAACATGAGAGAATAATAAAAGTAGTATTCCCTCTATATATAGTAAATAATCCCCCGACCATCCTTTAATCTGACACTAGGGACAAATTCAACAAATTCAACAACTATAAAGAGCAGAAGATCAATGGCTTAATGTCAAGTTTTCAAAAGAAAAACGAGTACTTACATAAAAGCAAATTTTGTTAGGAAACAATGAATAATTAAACAGCCAGCAGGGAGAGCACTTACGGCATCCATAGTGGGAAGAAATTGACAAAGCGAGTCCAAAAAGGTTGCAACACGTATTTGGCAAGGTAAGAGTGATCTACACCACTGTACTTGTATCTATGCAGAGCAGCTACGCCATGTGCCCCGATATACCCCATTCTTCTTTTCGCTAAATTTTATATAATAGTTCCTGGATTGAGCATCAGAAAAACCTAATCAGATTCAAAGGAAACCATGCGATCCCAGTGATTCATGAGGCTGGATGGCAAATAACATAAGGACAACACCAGTACACAACCGTAAATCAAATGACGGCAAAAAACCGGTCGATAACATCGAAGTATCGATCAACAGGGAATATATTACGAAATTTTAGACGCAGAGATTGCGGCAAATGCATAGATTCATCTTTCAGTAACCAGAAAATTAACGAGAAACAAAATAGAACGACAAATGAATGGATTTAGGAATGAAAAACATGAACAAGATGAACATGGAATCCAAATTACAGCAGATCTGAACTGAAATCGAAGAATCAACACGGAAAGAGAAAGGAAACCATAAATCGCCATAGCTGATACCTCTGTGAAGCGGAAGCAGGAGAGAGAAAACGAATCGCGATTTGCAGAACAGAGAACCTCGGTGGGGGACAGAGGGAAAGGCGAGCTTTTTATCTCCCGCCCTTCAGAAAATAAAAAACGGAAAAGGCGAAAAATGCAATGGAAAGAACAGAATCCAAGTACTTTAAATTGGAAAATTTTGGGAAAGAAAAAACTTTGAGAAAAAGGTTATTTTTATAAAAATTCGAAAATATCCTTATGAAATAATAATTATTCAATTTATTTAATTTAATTACCTGTGCACACGTTTACATGAGTCGAAGATTACGAAATTGCCCGACACGCTTTCCGCATTTTCAGTTTTTGGAAATATACAATAATAATTTACTGAGACAATCTTTTGAGACTGAAAAATATTTAGGGTTTTTTAAGTTGTATTTTTAAGGAAACCTAA